TCCCAGAAAGCCCATGTAGAAGGTGTGCTCAGTTTTTCACTTGTAGCAATTTCCACTCCTGTGCTGACAAGTTGGTGCTTTTTTCCATCTAACCATACTCCCTGCACTATTCCCACATCTGGGTTTTCTTTTGGAATTATAAGCCCGATTTTCAGACTGTAGACTTGATCCAGCTGAAAAGGAGCTCTCACAACCTTGGCTTGACACAATGGCCAGGTACCACTTGGTAAAAGCCCCTTGAGGCTTCTTTGGAATAATGTCCTTGAGAAAAGGCAAACCTCAGGCCTGAAAAGCAGTACAGAGCCAGATAATAACGTTGAGTCCATTATGCATCCAGCACTTTATTAGGACAGAGGGAGAAATGTGCCTGGAATAGTTCAAAATTCTAGTAAAAACATCTGTTCATCTCACACACAAGCACTATGCTATGTCCTTTTCAAGCTTGTGGATGCTACGTGGCCTCTCCCTAGAATAACTTGTTGAATTCCTTTAATTCCATATATGCATTCAGAGTACCTGCTGATAAAGCAAATAAAGCAAAATAGCGTTCCAGCGCAGTGATGCAATCTGTTCTCCCCTTGCTTAAAGTAGACCAGTTCAATGTTTACTAGAGGAGCTATGGTGATGGTTCATGGAGGGAAAAAAAAAAAAAAAAAAAGCACACACCCAAAAATCCATTTTCTGCAGCTTCTTGTCCAAAAGTTGTTCTACACAACAACAAAAGATAACGTGTGCTGCAGGCAGGTGCTAGAAAAGCCCAAAGAGGGCAAGGTTTAGCAGGGCAGCAGTGACCTAAAACTTACAATTTCTTTGACCTTATTAGCAACTCCCCTGGTGGTCAGAGGAAAGCTCCAGCAAGATTCCCCTCCCTCCCACTCCCCAAAAAAGCCAAGTAAGTAAGAGGTCATTTAAGCCTGAGACGCTCTGTATGTCATCCTATCATAGCAGAAACTTTTGACCCAATTAGGCCAGTTTACGCACGTGACTCCACCACGGGGAGGTCGATGGACCTTCCCTGTCAACAGGCTGCAGTGTTCAAAAGCAAACGGCAGGTGATAAGGGCCGGTGTCGTAACTTTAGCAGCCTGGAACAGGTTGTGAAACCTCCACCACCGGCGCTAGGGAAGTCTCAGGGGGATGAGGCCTTGAGCAATCTGCTGGATTTTGGCCTGCGTCGAGCAGGGCTTATGGCCAGAGACCTCCAGAGGGTCCTGCCAGCCCAAAACCTTCCACGTTGCCCAAAGCCTTTTCTTTTGTTTGACAGCAGCTATATTAATCAGCATGCCAGAAACTACCAGAAAGCAAAGATGTTGCTGTGTAGCAGCCAGCTCTTTGGTTCAGCTCCAGATGATGAATTTCCATCACCTCAGCGCTCAGGAACAGCATGGTGCTAGTAAAATAATTATATGCAAAATATGAAATGATTTTAATAAGTCACCTCCCTATTTCAATGGTCTTCCCCTAGGGGGATTTTGTTTTAGAAGGGAGACTAAAAGTTACCTGGCAGAAAATGCTCTTTCCTCAGGTCTTTATAAAAGCCACCTTGTAGAGCCTGGGAGGTGCTTCAGCAGATTGTCTCTAGAGTGCTGGGCAGGTTGCCTTAGGCAGAGTATGTCATAAGGCCTCTGCTTACTGGAGGTAATAAATCCACACTCACTCTAAGCTTTTTGATATTCAGATATCAAAACTGTGGTGATCAGCGGTGCAGAGTCTAGTTGGAGGCCTGTAGCTAGCGGGGTCCCCCAGGTGTCAGTCCTCGGTCCAGTCCTGTTCAATTTATTCATCAATGACCTGGATGAAGGCACAGAGTGCTCCCTCAGCAAGTTTGCTGATGATACCAAACTGGGAGGAGTAGCCGATACCCCAGAGGG